TTCTGTCACAGAAAGAAAATCGATAAGTTCGTTCTCTTCGAGATATTTGTAACGTCGTCGTACTTTTTCTCGTCGAGCTTGGCGTATTATTCGAATTGGTTGCTCCCTCGTAATATCTCATAACACGATTACCATATCTCTTTACTTTACCCCGTTACTGAAAAGGATTGTCGTGTTTAGTGATACGGATAATCCTGTAAAAAGGAATCTGGTGGAAACGTCGCGAAAGTGAATTAAAACCGAAACATTGGGCGTCCAATTGAAAGCTTTGGAAGGTACGTTTCTTTTTCGATTCGTCGACAAAAGTGACGAGTTTCGATTAAGCAGATATAGCTTCCTTCGACGTATTTGCATACAAAGTACGTTTAAAGAAACATAAATTGAAGAATTTACCGTCCATTCCATTCCGTATGGAAACTCGAAATCGTAAATCTTCTGAGTGGCAAGTTAACAGTAATGGAGTCCAAGGCGCATTAAGACGCAGAACGAAGAAATGCCACTATTACGAAGATAACGAAAATTGATACTTCAAAGCGTAAAGGGTCGATAGAGATTACCATCACAGATGTGTGAAGGAAATGGACAACGAAGGCAACGAAATTGCACTGAATACGCAAGCTACTTATTCCCATTAAATCAGTGAAATATGAACACGTTCTCTGAATAGCGTGGCTGCTTATACGCAGAAGTCCGACTTTACCGCAACAATTCGACCGAATACAACGAACCTCTAACCCAGACTTGGCTTTTAACCTGAATTATGTATCATCGTTTCGAGGGAAATCGTTAAGGAAAAACGGTGTGGCATGACGATGCAAAGTTACTGTACAAACATTTAATCAACGAATCTAAATCGAAAGACAGGGGTACGACACGAAACCCTATTCGAAAGTTTGATCGTTATTACCAGTTGTCTTGTACGCGTGGCGATGTAAATTAATATAAAATGACATATGTACATAGAGACATTCAAGTACTTCGCCACGTGGCTGAAATTATCGTTACTCCCACGTTATATCGCTCGTGTCTGATCCAAGACAGGATCTCCCTTGTCCTTCCTCACTACAAAGATGGGCAAATTCATTATCTAAAGAGTTTTGAACAACGAATAAAAGTTTAGAAAAGTACTCCATCATTTATAATTGATTTAACGTGGAAATTTTATAATAAAGTAATACTTCTTCTTGAATAAATAGACACTTGGCAAACCGTTACAGTAAATTCTCAATGAGTGTTCGAAGGCTCCTCAGCACTTAATATTAAATATTTCATAAACTAATGGTCATATGCGACTGAAACAAATGTTATTGGCTCCAGAATTCCAAACTCTATCACTGTCCTAAACCTCGTTATAAAATCAGCGTTACACCTGGGGAACGACCTCTCTTTATTAGTAAAGAGCCTTCGAAAACTCATCGAGGATTTACTGTATTTATACTTATTAACTTTTTAAAAATTAGGTTGACGGTTTTAGATACTATTGCTTTTCACTATATATTATTCAAACAAAATTGTGCCCAACTCTACCTCACCGACACTCCCCCCCTCCCAGGTGGTGACAGGTTATCGTACTGTTTTTTTCCCGAAAATTCTTCAATTTTCATTCACCGTGATTCACGTCGACGGGTATCGATCGCTCGTTGTACGCAATCCAACGTTCCCTCTTTCAGGGATGTAAGCTTCAATCATCGCTGCGAAACGTTTAAAAGATTCATCCACGGATCGGTACTGGGGGTCAACCGAGGCAAAAAGAACGGAATGGAAATTTATTCCGTCTCGTGGGTAAAACTGCTTTCCTTTCTTCCGTTTCTGTAACGCGCCTATAGGTGTTCGCTAATGTTACAATATGATTTATGTCCCGCATAATCCACTTTCTACCCATTTCGTTGTGCATACGTGGCGAAGCCAGCACTGTAAACGACGCTATTAAAATCGTCGAACGACCTTTAACTAGAGCCTTGAACGCCGTTACGTGTTGGATAGCCATTTTAAGGTCTGTTGAACGTTTTATTAACAATTTGACGGTCGACCTTTGCAATACGCAACAGTTAATGGGCTCTCACCCCGGCACCTTCCGTTTTATAACGGGTTCACCGTCCGAAAAGCTGTCGGTAAATATACTCTTCCGAACACTCGAGACGCTCGAGAACACTCGAACCTATCGGAGAATACTCTAGATATGTAGATTTCCTGGAGGTCAAGATGTGTTGAATCCCTGTGCGGTTATCGAGCGTGTAGGTGTCGGGATGATCGATACGCTGTCAATGATAGAATCGTACAAGACAATACAGGGTGTAAAAAAAATGTTGAGGACCCAGAAATGATAGACTCGGGAAATTATTTGAAACAAGTTTCTCCTTAGCAAGAATGTTATCCGAGGTTTTGTTAACGAGATATTAATGAAAAACCCCGACCAAACACCTCACAAGTCTCCCATTTCATTGATTATTCTTTGGAATCTTTCTTTTCAACACATAACGTATCGAATATCGTGTCGTCATTCGTGTCGAATAACCCAAAACTGTTTCTTTCGACACGACCTTGCGGTTGACCTCTTCAGACGCAAGATCCTCCACCAAAGTGATGAACACGTCTGGACGGACGAATCTTCGAAACAAAAGCTGTATTAGAACGTCAAGGAATGAAGACCTCGTCCTGATTCCTTGATACGGAGCTATTATCGCGCAGCCATTATTCTCGGTTCGTATTACCGTTAACCCTCTGTAACGCCGTCCAACTTTGAAGTCACGTTCTATCTGCAGCCCATTGTGATCCTAATCTTCAAAATTAAGATCCCAAAGTCGAAAACTTAATTTGAAATTGCTTGGTTAACGCCTTCTTCTTTATGTCTTCGACCTGGCATCGAATCTCTTCTAACTACTTTTCGTCTTCTTATTGTTCTACTCCATAACGATTGATCGTTAAAAAAAAATACGCAGAAATTATCTTCTATCTGTTTCGGTCCATCTGGTCGGCTGTCTTGCTTGTTCTAGAGTGGACGACGATCACTTTAGCAACGACAGAGACCGATGTCCGTTTAGGAAAGAACGATTAGCATTACCGCAACAACGATCGTTCCCCGTTCATTTTCAGACGTGATTTTTCGATTCGTTCCACGATTTACCATAATTCGAGGCGAAATACTTTAACGAGTGGAAGGAATTGCGCGTTCACAGCTCGGCGGGTTCGAAAATTTCATGCAAACCAGACGGCAGACTGTTCTGGGATGGGTTTGTTCTGCGGCAGGATATTCACGCGACAGTCGTTACGAGTAAATTGTATGTTCCAGGCGTCACCGTCGTCGTCGCCACGTTGTCGCGTACACCACCTAAAGATGGCGAATGAAAATACGATAGACAGAAGAAATATGATTCTACGAGAAACGAAGAAAAAGACCTCGAGATTTAACTGGAATTGTTGAAATTCCGAACGATTCTGCGTTATTTTCGGTTTTTCGACGGCGAAATAAGAATAGTATCAGGGGAAAAAAAACAGGGAGAAATAAAACTCAATTCCACGGTTCGCAAAAAAAAAAAAAAAACCGATAACGTCAACGAAAACGAATCGTGGATACGTTCGAAGCATAACTTTCATCTGGTCCCCGCTTTATCGAGTATAATACGTCCGATATGCGACGACGCGATTCGTCGTCGAAAGATTTGAGAAAGCACTCTCGAACCGAAAAAGAAACGGGCTGGCGTTTTTGTCTGGCTTCTCAAAAAACCAGAGTTAGCGTCCTTGTACCAGTGACGGCATGCTCGCTCGAAAACTACGCGCAAATTTATCGAAGGCTATAAAAATCGGGCGCGACCGAAGCGACGAGCCAGAAGGATTATGTATGCGCGGTTTGTCAAAAGGGGACTTTAGCTGGTTACCAAAGAAGGCGACGATTTTTGTGTTACGTATATACCACGCTGTTAATCGAACTTTTCCTTGGAGAATTCGAGTTTTAGGAAAGAAACCGAGGTGATATGTTTCGTTACAATTTTATCTTCCATGATCGATAAAATTGGTGGTTTGCTAGTTAAACGTTAGATAGTTGAACGAAACGGCGGAATGGATTGTAATTTCAAGTCCACAGAAACTTTAACACTAGAACTACCAAGCAAGTCAAAATGACTTGCCAATACACTCTTACAACGATGATTAAAATGTCATAACAATACATTTTCTCAGATCTTTTGTACCTTTTATTACGATACGACATTAAAGAAATTAGTTAATTTATAAATTTGTATATCTTCAAAAGTTTGTCATACTTATCGATCGATCGAAAAAGATATGCGTTTATCATTGGTAGGTCTAGTGTTAAGGGCTTCCATGTAATAAAAGAAAAATCAAGAATGATGAAATTGTACTAAAAGTTTCGTTTTGAAGTTTCGAGATTCAACAGTTCAAGATTTGGGCCAGAAATGCCTGAAACCAGACAATCTGCGTGTAAACGACAAGCGTAGGACACGACAGTGACTGCACATACACTGGCGTCGACAATGCTCGCGAATGAATGACCCGCGGATGTTGGGATTGTATCAAAGCAACACTTAAGAGATTTTGTAACTGTCAAGATCGAATTTTAAATGATAAACTATCATTGATAATAATATTAATAAATATTTGGCACATGAAAATTAGATTTACTAACATTTATACCTTTTTAGCAAACACCCTGTATAGTTCCTACCTAATGGCTCACGAACGTCATTCGAGCCTTCATCGCCGCGTAACGTTTTTATCAAGCAGCCGTGATTCGTTATCGAAAAACGATCCAATGCCTAGTATACTTAATTGCTTCGAATCTTCGATAAGAAATTCTTTTTTCAGTTTTCAGGTTATCTAAATTGTTCGTACAATCGATAATTTTTCATTTCCCGTCTCTGTGCTGATAATAAACTTGGGAAATCTTTCATCCGTTATAAATACATCGATTCTTTTATCGATTCTTTAACACCTTGTTGTGCCATAACTTCGTCTTAAAGCGGACTTGTCCATTTCTGTTTCAGTTACCGAGAGGGAGATTCGGCAATGGTGAGTTCAAATAAGCAAATCTCGGCCCGCTATCCTGGATCAAACATTCGATTCGACAAAAATGTAGAAAAACGTTATTCATCGAGAAACACAGTCGAAAAAAAATACTAAACGAAAAAGTTGATACTAGAGTACATTCATTTCAGATTTATCGATCGTGTCGTATTCGTGTATTATGTATATCGCGACCAAACAATCGATTTTGTGCAGCAATATTTTTGTCTGTCCTTTGACAAAAATATCATCAGATTCGTCTTTTGTGTTTGTAATACCGTTCCTATCGTTACCTCAATTCTCCGTTTACGAAGCACAGGATTTAATTGCGCGAAATTTAAACATTTCTCGAACCCATAATCAAATTCGATAAAACCGTTCGACGACTGTTTGTTTAGGCACAAAGGATTCCTGAAAGACTGCCCGGATGGACTGCTGACGGAACAGGTATGACCTCGTTACAGCCAACGCTTTAGTCGACCAAAAAATCGACACAAGATGGAAAGAATTTTAAGATAAGCCTGTATCTATTGCGTGATTTCAGGGTTTCATAAAGATCTACAAGCAATTCTTTCCTGACGGCGATCCTTCGAAGTTCGCGACCCTCGTTTTTCGAGTTTTCGACGAGAACAACGTAAGTTTTTTCGACGCGTTTCACCGACGAAATTTCGCGATGTTCACGGTTCGGTCGAGTGAGAATTAAACGAGCTTCCTAGAAATTCCTGCGAAGATACTCGAACGGGTATTCTCGCGAACATTTCTACTGAGAATCACAGGAACCACCGTAGGCGTTCGGGACAAAAGATTAAAAAGTCTCTGCCTCTTTCGTAAAGCAATTCGAGGAGAATAAAGGGTGCTCGGGACAGGGTCGACTTTGATTCGGAACTCGAGCTAGCTTCCGTTAAGATCGATCGATCCGTTTCAACGATACAACGTTATCCGGTATTTCCATGAACTTGCTCGTCTAATTCACAGTCACGCGATTCTCCCCACGAATTCCTCGCCGCGTATACTCCTTTATCGCGAGACAATAAAAGCATTCCCTCGCGGATTATAAAATTGAAACCAACCACGAATATCCGTTCATCTTCTATACGATGAAATGCAGGGAATAAGTCTGATACTTTTTATATTTCCTTCTCGAAACCATCGTAAGGACATCGTTTCGAAATATTACCACAGCTAAAATACATCCGAATGCTTCGTAAAAATATATCGCTCTGGCTGATGTAGCTTTCGATTACACCCACGTGAATGCCGAATTTTATGCAAAGCGGGCCATCTGTATACGTTTCGCTGCCCTTCTACGGTTGCAATAATAAAAAAAAAAAAAAAATTGCCTTTCCGAATGCTGTCCTTGCATTTCCATTTTACAACTCTTAAACGGAGAATTTATCGGGCGAACGGACGATGCAAACGAAAAACGCGTCTGCCCGTTCGAAAGGGAGTAAAAAAAAAAAATAAAGAAACAGTTCGTCTACGTTCGATAAAACAATTTCAAATCCCTTGAACGATTCGCGATACTCTTGTTTCGTATTCCGTTAAGGGAAAACCGTTTCGCCTTACCGACGACGTTCGCACGCGCCTTTCATATTTCCCTTTATTCGCTTCCGGATGCTATCCACTCGGATAACGGCCCGTTGTCGACACTGTCTGCCCTTGTGTTTATTGGCCTCCCTCGCAATCTCACGATGCTTCCCCCTAAGCGATTCGTCGGGTCGAGTAAACACCTCCAGAACTCGCATAAGCGTTCGCAAATGGCCGATTCGCGAACAATCAAATTCCACGATGGATACGTCGTTCGACGCGGTGACAAATACGACCGCGGGACGCGCGTAATTAGACGATACACAGACGGTTCGACGGGAACAGTTAAGCTGGATCGACCCACGATTATCTTGCAGGACGGCACGATAGAATTCGAGGAGTTCATAAGGGCGCTCTCGGTGACGTCACGGGGCAATTTGGACGAGAAACTGCATTGTAAGTGTACAATTACAATTTCCTTTTGATAAATGATCATGGACCACGCGACGGAAATAAGTATTTTCGGCTAGAATCGGAAAATTGCGTTTAACCACGTTGACTGCCGCAGTGGAAAAGGCTGTATATAGCCAGATGTAGTTCATTTTGGTTTTTTTTTAGTCATGAATGATTGAAATTATATGGAGCAAGTTATGCAGAAACCTACCGACCATCGAAATGATAAAAAATTAATTAAACAGAGAACGGAATCCCATAATTTTGTGATCTTTATTTTGGATGGCCAACCCATGAATCAACTCTTATGATATACAATTATTAAAACGACCAAGCCATAGCAAAATTCAAAATAAAATCAAAAATAATATTAATTATACTGTGCTTACTATTAAATAAGCCGTTAAAAAGCATTGTAAAGAAGAAATTAAATATACCCAATAGAAATAAGGCCACTTTTTTTTAAATTGGTAAAATATTTTACGGTCAGACACTTGAGTTATTGTTCTACTACATTATAACATTTTGATGCGTGCTTCGAAGACCCACGACGTTGAAACGCGTTTCGTAAGATTCGTTTCCTACTGAAACATGAATTACGATTTTCGCGATACCGAATACGAAGGTGGAAGACGAACAATCGCAGAACTTCGGTTCTTTACTTGTTTCCAGGGGCATTTAGGCTGTACGATGTGGACAACGACGGTTTCATCACGAGAGCTGAGATGTACAATATCGTCGAAGCGATATACGAAATGGTGGTGAGTACATTTCCGCCTAGGTAGACAGCTTGATGAAACGTTTCGAACTTCAAGCCACTCGAACGTCGACCACGCGACTAGAGATATTGATAAATAACTGACTACCACACCTCCGACATACCACCACCTGGAGTCTCTTTGAATAGTTCATAGTGTCTCGAGTTTGAAGTTGGAAACGTCCTGAAACTGTTCGAAATTAGTATAGCGGCGTTATCAAACATATTTTAAGCAATTTGTTTAGGGACCAATCAATTTATATTCATAATACATCCCGAAGGTTCGTATATTTAATTAGTTTATATCATTAAAATTATCGAGTGTCTACACCTTATATTTCATATACAGAGTGTCCCAAAATAGGTAATCCTTTAAAGGGACATATTTTGAGATACCTTATATATCATTAGGAACCTGTACAGTTTCATCTTACAAAACCCAATTAAAATCGTCCTAAAGAAGTCCTTCTAGTATACTCTACCTATAATAGTATATGAAAATGCGTTCCTTTCGCGAGAATCTCGGGCCTTTTACTTTCCGACAGCCGGGCTATAAACTAAAGTCGATGCCCTTAATCGTTATTCGATAATAGAAAAGTTCACCCTCGGGAACGAAACGTAACTTCGCAACGTGTTGCCTGCGTTCATTCTTATCCGTTTCAGAAAGTTTATAGCTGGTGATTATCGTCCGTTTCCTTCTATGCTGTCTCGAAACACCGTAAAGCCGCTGTCCATAGTAAATACGTGACACGCCCGTTAATATTTAACGATAATCGCATCACGTTCTGTTTCTTAAAGCGTGCATCTGTGGTTAAACAAAATCCTACCTGCATAATACATACATCTGTTTTTCATTTCATTTCATTATTTTCAACGTGTCACGTTTGCCTAGGTAGCAATTCAAATGCAAATCACCCACATCTGACGCTGATAAGAAATTTCACTTTACCACAATTTTCGCTAGAAACTCGATATTTTTGCAACGTGCGTGCATCACGAGATTACGACGAACCAGGGTAATTCGATCAGAAAATCTTTCTACTAAAACCCTCCTTCCGCATCAATAACCGAGAAATCCGCTTAAACCGGACAGCTACGCTGTTAAACATATACAATACACATATGAATATCGAAATTTCGCCAGATATTTATTTAACGTAAATCTTGAAATTTTTACGGGATCGAAACGTCACCATATTTCGGCGACCCTTTCGCAGAATCTATTCGATAAACTATCGATACCTGTACAATACACATATGAATATCGAAATGTCGCCAGATATTTATTTAACGCAAGTCTTGAAATTTTGACGGGATCGAAACGTCACCATATTTCGGCGACCCTTTCGCAGAATCTATTCGATAAAGTATCGATACCTATACAATACACATATGAATATCGAAATGTCGCCAGATATTTATTTAACGCAAATCTTGAAATTTTTACGGGATCGAAACGTCACCATATTTCGGCGACCCTTTCGCAGAATCTATTCGATAAAGTATCGAACAACCGGGCACACGGGTTTACCGGGCGAATAAACGATTCGCAGTTTCGCGATAATTTATTATCACCCGAGTACGGTACAAGGAGCAGGAAGAAGATAAAAGTCGGATATTTCTTTGATGAATCGTCCAGCCGAGTTTCCCGACGCGGTGGCAACGCGGAAAAAGGTATAAGTAACGAGTTTAAGTAACCGCCCGTTGCGTCTATGTATACCCAGCGCTGGGATTAAATTTGCAAAAGTAGGTCGTGAACTTCGATGCTCGATAAAAGAACAAAAAAAACAACTCGCTGGGCAATGAGGTTGGAAAACAAAATAAATCAAAAGCTGTTTAGGAGGTATTAACCATCGACGCTCGTGTACTTTACGTTTTCGTTACAGAGAACTCGCTGGTCCGCGTTAGTTAATTCTCCAGAGTCCCGATACACGTTCGCGGGGTCTGCAGCAGTGGCGGCATCGAAACCGGGACACCAACGACAAAGAAAGACTTTTATCCAATGATTTCTCGCGGCCAGCGTGCCGTGGTCGCCGCGGCATAATTTCAGTTTCAAGCGAGATAGAACGCATACCGCCACCCCGTGCACAAAAGCTAGGTTTATCGTTGTGATATGACGACGCGTGTGTACGTGTAACGAAAACACAGGAACGCCTGAAACGACGCGAACTTTTCTTTACTCGCGAGAGCTAATGAAACGCGAGATTCTAGATATGCTCGCCCGTGGAGCGTAGAACGTTTATATTGTTGCAGAAATCGTTTAATTAAAGCCCTCGACAAGCGAGAAATGTAGCGGAAAAATTCAGGCCATTCCTGAGCCAATGATTCTGTTAATTTACAAACGTGGAAGTATTGCGTGGACCAGGCAGATAAAACCATTACGATGGTGATTTCAGTGGAATAACCGATTATCGGGAATACCGTGTGATCCACGTAGTATTGCCCAGGAACTTCTACCGAAACGTAAAATACCGGCATTTTTTATTGCACCTTCGCCCTATATAACCCTATACATATAGCTTAAATGTACCTATAAACACTTTGATTTTTGGATCACCGATCTCACGGTTCCCAAAGTGAAGAGATCTGAGAAGGTATTCCAGTTACTTTATTTTCTTTACTTCGCATTTAACATTTTAAGATTCAAAGATTACACGCCCAACTACGCCTGGAAATTTTGATAATAGAGACAGTTTACCTAAACGGACGCTGAACAAAACTTTGAAAAAGGAACGGTGATCCAAAAAGGGTTAGGAAAGTACGACCTATCGGTAAGTAATTACAGTAGACTCTAGCTATATTGCCACTGAACATATTGCCACGCGAGGCATTTCCCCTTCACACGTCCTTTCGAGCACACAACTTCGTTCCCCCACCACGTCGCGTACGCCTGCGCACCAGCACGATCCAGCTTTTGCGCCGAGGCTATGACGATAGAACATAGCATGGAGGGGGCTCTCAACTCATTGCCATTTTACTCACCTACAGCCTCGACCATGGCAATATAGTTAGAGTCCACTGTATACTAAATTGCATAGGTATTCTGTCGAGGAATCGGTCGATCTCGTGTCAGGTTAATCTCTGGTCGATACTATAAACCAGCGACGGAAGAAACCGGCCAGTAGACGGATGGCTAACAGATCGTGCGGTGAATGTTACAGGGGCAGCCGCCGCAGGCGGAGGACGAGAACACGCCGCAGAAAAGGGTGGACAAGATCTTCGATCAAATGGACGTAGACCACGACGACAAGCTGACACTCGAGGAGTTCCGGGAGGGCAGCAAGGCCGATCCCAGGATCGTGCAGGCGTTAACGCTGGGCGGCGCCGGCGAGTAATGCCGAAAGTTCATCGAGACCGAACGATCCGTCGTCGTCGGTCGTTCAGAATCGAACGACCGCGTGCCCCGTATTGGTCCACCCACGTTGGAAAGGATAGGAGAGGAAATCAGTCGATCGATAAACGAGGCTTAGGGGGTGATCTTAACGCAGCTACGCCGTAATCGATCCCGAAGCCCCGCGTATACACGCATACATAAAAGGTACATACGTGCGAATCGACGCGACGAGGCGCGACCTTATTCGAAGAATTCCCTTCGTTCTTCTATTCGCGGAAACGATCGTCGTCCTGCTCGCAGGACATCGTTCCGTTAATCGTGCATCGATACGGATAATAGAGAACGTAGATGTTTCAAGTAGCGGAAATCGATTCTCCTAGATCGTTGTACTCGATCTCGAATTCTTTGATTTTTTCCGTACCTACGAATCGACGAACGAAACGAACGATCCGGATATTAGTCTCGCGGCGAATCGATAAGGAGACCCGGTTGATCGTCCCGTCCCGCGATGAATTTCGTCGCGTGAACATTTCACTCGGTAAAAATGGAAATTACTTGTATACCATTGTCGACGGGAATGTCGTGAACGGAAGAAGAATTTCGAAGATCGCGTTTCGCATCAGCTACGATCTTGCGGATGCATTCTGAAGAGGGATTTAAGTCCGTTGAGAAGAACGGAAGCCCGCGTCGAGAATAAACGAGTACAATTACATTACCCGCTTATAGATTCTCCGTGGCGTTCACGCGTTAAACTTTAACCGGAGGATTTATCGTGGATCGTTGGATCGTGCACCGTGTGCTGGGAAAACGTTTGCACTCGCGTGCGTACTTGGATAAGCGTCGTGGCCGGATTTCTTTTTTAGAAACGAACAATCGTTTCCCACACACTACTTCATTTATTACAGGATTGTTATCCTTTCGTTATTCCATCGCGATCGAGCTTACCGATTTCTTCCGATTCTCTTTGAGAATGCAAAACGATTTCTCAACGATTCGGACTCGACTGTTCCTCGATGGAAAGCTTCGGCGTTGACGTAATTTTTTTACGGCCACGAACCGAATATAGGTGTACGGTGAAAGAAAGGGAAACGGAAGGAAGGCGTGGAGAACGGCTAGGAAGCCATTAAAGAAGGAAACGGGCCAAAGGACGCGAATCTTCAGAGAAAATACGCGAAAGCGAGAGGGCCGAATGGTAGCTGGAACGGAATGCAGTTCATTCGAGGAAAGGGCACGCGCGCGAAGCTGCCGGAGAAAAGATGCGAACCCATTGAAATATGCGGAGGATAGAGGCAAGGTTCGAGGCGGGCCGTGGGGCTAAATTTCTCGACCTTTCAACCGGTGCGCTCTAATACCGCTTCCTCCCCCATCGCCGGGGAAAAAGACAATTTCGTCCTCCTTTCTCCTACTCTCTTTTTTCTTCTTCCTTTCCTTCGAGTTCTCATATTTTCCACGGCTTCCTCGCGGTGCTACTGGGGAAAATTTCGTTTCCACCCGCGCAGCCATGCTTTCCCGGGATCGGTATTACCCGCCGATAAGAAGAGGAAAAAACAGATGGGGGAAGAGAAACACAGTCTAGATAGAATTACTTTTTCTCGGATGCGTTACGTATTTACGACGTCTCGGGTCTTGGCGTACCCTTTAAAAAATCACTCGATAGAATTGCAGTTCAGACGAGCGTCGGTCGCCAGACGGAGTTCCGTTAAAAATTTAAGGCTCTGGCTATCTGCGGGTTTACGGTACAAGGAAAACGAAAAATGGGGAAGGGTCTTCCCGTTCCAAGATCGAACTGTGGTTTCTTCTTCTTCTTGCGAGACAACCAGAAGGTATATATCCTGGACGCGTGATTAGCGATCGAACAGGTAGCCGAATAGAGGATAGAGGTAAAACGGCGAAGCAAACTTGCACGTAGATGTCCCAATTATTGCCAACTTAAAATTGTAGCGTAACATCATTTAATCGTTTTATTTGTTTTAACCCTCTATGGGCCGGTGTAACTTTCACGTCAGATACTAATATATCGATATTTTATTAAATAATTTAACTCTTGTCATAACGTGGCGTATACATCTTGTTATATAATATCTTCTTACTAACAAATATTATACATATAACAAAATGTATACGCCACCTTATGACAAGAGTTAAATTATTTAATAAAATATCGATATATTAGTATGTGACTTGAAAGTTACACCGGCCCATAGAGGGTTAAAACAAATAAAATGATTAAATTATTATCTTCTTACTAACAAATAACATTATAAAACAAAAAATTGCTGAAAAAAACATGTGGGTTCATTATTAATCTGTATTTTAAATGTATAGTCCTGAAAAAATTTCGGCTCATATAGGATTAAAATAAATAAAATGACAGTATTAGGGACACTTGCAGTAAATGGGACATTTACAGCTATATTAGTAACAAAAGATCGGATCGGAATTATAAATTTCCTTTTCTTCACTGTTCTTTCCCCTACGCTGGTTTCTTTCTCGTAACGCTCATTCGATACAGTATTCGTAATTCCCTCTCCGCATCTGACCAACGATTGTCTGAACAAAAAACGCAGCAACTTTCGCTTTAGCTGTTCGAAAGACAATTCGACGGAATTAACGAGCGTCGAATCGAAACGCGGACTCGCGATGTCGGTCGAGCGAAGCAATTTATCAGGTTTGTTAATTGAAAATTGAAACGGATATACGCGAACGCGTGCAACGAAATCAAATCAACGTTCATGGTGTATTTTTTAACGCGCATCGTGTCGTTTCGAGGTTCGTTAACGCGCGTCCCTCATCTCGACGCGACTCGAAATGATACTCGTTACACTTTGGACAATTTTCGTGACAGACTCCTTAAAGGCAAACTCGTTCGTTTTCGTCGTTTCTTTGTCACCAAAATTCCCACGTTAAATACGGTTTCTTTCCTATTCCTCGATGCCTGAAATTCTTTCATAGCGAGGGACGTGTTTCTCGATTTCCTAATTTCCCACGAGGCTGTAATCTTGCAATTTCATGCAAATTTTATCTACCTACACGCTTAAAATTAATCGTCAATTTCAGAGGGACCTTCTAAATTGATCGACGATCAAGAATTTTCAAATTGTTTCGAACAATTAATTATCAGTACGAACAATGTCATTTAACGGCACACCCTGGTTCACGCCTCGAACGTCAAGCTTCAATTCGAAAGAATTTCGCGTGTTCGTCGAGCCGACAATGAGACCCACTCACCGTGGAAGGGTTAATTAAACGACATTATGGGTGCCCGTTGTGCAGCGCACCTTTGGGAACAGCAATTAATCTTGAGCTCTTCCGTCCCAGAAATAAGTCTCGGAGGAATTTCTGCAATGTCACCGACGGAAGGCGCCTCCTCGTTCTTGTCCTCGTATTTTTTTCCCTAGTTAACTGTTCTTACAGAATTCCAGTTCCGGAATTAGTACTCCCGTTTCTTTGTCAACGTCCACCCACTTGTTTCATCTTCGTGCAAGGGAAAAGACAAGCAACCACGCCTCTTTTCGTACCGATCAAATTTTCACCATCCTTTTCTCGATCGTCTTAATTTCCGAATCGTATTTACTCCATTTTTTTCCAGCCTTTCCTCTAGAAATTATCGCGTGACAATATCTGTTCTCGGCGTTCTAAAGTCCACTGTCAAGCTGAAAGCTTTAATTCGTACGTTTACACGTAACGATTTTCAACGCAAAATCATCGCAAAACTGTTTACGTAGAGATCGTAGAGCCTGCGGAGAATCCCAAAATTTTCAGTTATCGTGGTAAAATGTTGAACTGGACTGCTTCGTTCCTCGTATTTCTTTTCCCTGCGCGGTCCTTTTTCGCTAACGAACGATCACGCGCAACGATAACCAGTAGGTGCACGCGTGAGAATCCCCCGGAGAAAGCAAGTTTATTTTCATATCGTAATATGCATAAACGTTGCACAGCCCTGACCTTCTCATTTCCACCTGGTGTCGCGACTTTCCAGCGCATTTCATATATGTCCACGGTCTCGACGGTCCGCGCAACCCTATTCCATTTGGCCGGGCTATTTGCCTCGTGTCACGTATCCAGCCAACAAAACGAATATTATCTAATATCGCGGTTTACCTCGAAGTTTTTCCTAACTTGAAATCGAACCAGTTTCGCTGCTCACACGTACACTACGGTTTACAAGTATTGGCACGTCTGATCTGTACTATGGCTGTCACGAATATTCGAATATCATCTAAACATTTATTTCGGACGTTCAGCAATTCCGTAATGCCTCGTAACATTCACTGCATATTCAATAAGCGTCCTAATAAACAAGCGGGAGTGTATACGTATCCATACATGTACGTATAAACGAGCCGCAATGTCCGACTACCGTCATCACATCCGCGGTTCTACGTGCACTACCGTTCGCCATTATACCGTTCTATCGAGTAGCTATCCCGTAAATTAGTCGTTCAACGTATGCACAACCACCCCCCCCCCCCAAATCAGTGATCTATCGTGAAACCCTTTCCGATGCCAGTTTCAAATTTCCTTCCCGAATATTTTATCCGATTTATTTCTCGAGCCTGGCACCTCCGGTGTTGTTTCCCAGGATCGATCACGGTATTGCAACGCGCGTAACAAACATTTACCAAAAGCTCGTTGGCTTCGTCGTTGTTGGCGAAACTTTCCAAACAACCGAAACACCCCCTAGTCGCTTCTCTAATTCATCGTGCCACGTCGAGAACTTTCCTCCGGCGCCCGAACTTTTCCAAATTTATGGTTGCAACGCGAACCAGTCCTGTCCATTCAACGAAATATCGTGGCGATCGAACCGTCTCGATTTTTCGTGCTGAAATACATTGGATTCGTGTACGCCTGGAGGACCCGTGCCCTCGAGCGCGTGCTCCGGAGATTAAACTCGTTCCCGAGTGTTCGGAAATGAAATTGTCCCCCCACGTATAATTTCTCCAGGCTTCCCCTTGTCTGGTTATGCAAGCGCGTATTTCGTACGCGTCATTTTCTCGAGAT